TATGTAAGTATTTATGTATGTATGTATGTGTGTGTGTGTGTATGTATGTTTGTGTGTGTGTGTGTGTGTGTGTGTATATATATATGTATGTATGTATGTGTGTATGTATGTATTTATGGGTGTATGGGTGTATGTGTGTATGTGTGTATGTATGTGTGTATGTGTGTCTGTGTGTATGTATGTATGTATGTATGTATGTTTGTTTTACGTTTTAAATCTCCTATCGTCAACTTATTTTACTGATTCTGCAATTTGGGCTTACCTCCAAAGAATCCCTTGATTTTAGGACTGGTGACAATCATACGTTGATACCAATCGTATGTGATTACGTTTTGTCTTAAAAATCTGCAGTGCTGCTTCAGAACTAACACACATGCTAGAGTCGTCTACTCCCTGTACATAAAGTTGTACCAAAACCTTTCGTACCCCGGCTGCAAAAGTTGCTTTCGGGGTTTGAAGGGGTTTCCTGGCCCATCGAGGTTGGACTATATTCAGCATCGTTTCGGGTTGTAATGGCTTCGTTTCTGATGAGATCTCATGCAGTGTCGCCACCCCTTGTTGAAACCTATCCAGTGCGGAACTAATAGCATTAGCCTTTTCACCCACAATCTCTTTGTCTTTTACTAACGCTCCCTTACTTGATACAATCGGCTTCCATACTGCAGGTACTGGACTTTGATGGTGGTGGAATGTCACTTTTCCTATATCTATGCGCGGTTGAAGACCTTCTGGCAAAGCCAATTCTTCAATCAATTCTGCCGGCGACTGGTGTTGAACGAGGTAGGAAATATATGATATGAGCGTTACTTGTACAATTACTTATACTTATACTTCTAAAACTACTTGCACTTTTACTTCTACTACTACTCGCACTTTTGCTTCTACTACTACTTGCACTTTTGCTTCTACTACTACTTGCACTTTTGCTTCTACTACTACTTGCACTTTTGCTTCTACTACTACTTGCACTTTTGCTTCTACTACTACTTGCACTTTTGCTTCTACTACTACTTGCACTTTTGCTTCTACTACTACTTGCACTTTTGCTTCTACTACTACTTGCACTTTTGCTTCTACTACTACTTGCACTTTACATACCATGCTTTGTTCCGATAGTTGTACGTGTCGGAATCCATCCCCTTCAATGTCACGAACGCGTGTCTTTCGCATAGTACTCTCCATCTGAGATTTGTAGCTGTGATGTTCCGACAACGTGGTTCCAAAGTGTACAACCGGTTGTTCCACAAGTTCCCCCGGTATTCATTTTTCCCTATACAGTACAGTTTCTTGTTCTATCTCATGTTCCGACTTATAAACTTCAGACATACATTCCTTAGCTTTACCGTTACAAAACCTTAAGGCCGAGGTAGTATCGTCGGTGCTCGGATCTTCGTGACCGCAGATCGCATGAATAGGACGAGCACAGCCTTTGGGAACTATTAATGAATCACCAGGCTTTTCACATTTTGTACCTGCTGCACACGTCCTCTCATCGCCAGTGCTAGTAGTATCTCAAGTGGCAGTATCTCCAGTGGTAGTATCTCCAGTAGTTTGGACAACATATTTCACGATGGAATTGTCTCGCGGGCTAATAGCCACAGAGCTACCAGTTGTTCCTTCTTGGTCACATAGTGCCCTGTAGATATCTGCAGGCGTACATATACTACCACCTTTGTTTGATTTTACATCGTGGCCTTCTACAAATCTTTGTAGCACGATATTCACATACGCGAAATGTGTGTCAAGCGCTGTTTCCCCCGCTTGTGCCTCTGTGAAAATCCATCGCGTTATCTTGAGCTTACCATCAGGTTATTGCATTTGAGGTGTAGTGGTGTAGTGTAAGGAGTTGGAAAATGCGGACGCATTGTCTGACTGCGTCACTATACTGGTAATATTGAGTATCGTCTTCCGCACGTGGTAAAGTAGTGCTTCAATAGCGAGCACGACAGACAGTGCGTCGTGTCCTCCGTTGTCGTCTGGTATATAATAAAAAAACGATGTCTGTAAGTGCTTGGTCGGTTCTTCGTCCCCAGATTGTACCTTGTATTCACCCCGCACGAGCATAAACCTTAGAAGAGACATCCTTGATTTGCCAAAGTACTCACTGTAAACTTTTCGTGGCTCACTAGACTATCTATATTACTATATTATAAAAACGAAATCGACGTTTAAAGAATGTGTTTTGAACACAATAAAATAAGGTTAGGAATGTGCCATATCGTTGGCAGAAATTGCCATATATAATTGTATGATCAATTTCGTGTTTGTTCACGAAACGTACGTCCAGGCGAATGACGTTCGTCATATGTGAACATAACACCTAAGCCAAATATCGCAAGATTTATTTATAGATTTCTAAAATAATATTACAAGTTTTTCTATAAAATAACCCAGTTTATAAATATAGAAGGGTTTTCCATATTATAAACTGATTTATATTCATGAGTTTTTCTATAAAATAACTTTAGTTTTTATAAATACATCCTTTTCTCTTTATAAAAACAAAATAAAAATTCAAACAAAAAATTGTCGTTTTTAATTATACGACCACCAGCTCTGCGTATACGTTCGGGGGAATCTACGACACGACATCGTTTGCCCTGCTGGCAGTATTATGAGACGTCGTAAATACTTATTTGGTCCAGGTAGTCTCACTAGCCATATATGGTGAGGTAGACTATGGGTAAAAGGTATGTATCATACAAATAAACATCCCTTAGTCATAGTAGAAGTGGTTATAATATCTTTATTTATATTTATGTATTATAAGCTTCTACCACTATTGTGTTTAACTCGTAACTTACTATGGTTATGCTATTACACTAAGTTACTACGTGATGTGATGGTTCTGTACTAAGACCCGGGTATTACACAGCCCCCCGCCAGCTTTGAAGCATTGTACTGTGTTTGCCCTATTAACCATGTACACATACAAGAAGCGAAAATTTAGCTAAGAAACGGGTCGCGGTGTATTAGACACCTGGGCAGAAGTTATTCAATATAGTCTATATCCATCCTATTCCGTTTGGGTCGTGGTCCCCTAGGGACAAGAAATTGTGTTTGTCTGCGTTTGTTACTTGGCTTCTGAGTCATAGTCTCAGGAAGGTGTGGGATAAGTTGTGTATAAGGATACCACTTCGCATTTTTGTCGTCCACTTGTGGGAACGTTCGGGTTTTATCGGCATCACTTTTGTGTAACCGTTTACGCCACTTCTTATTGAATGAACGTATGTAATCCGGATTGTCAAATACATCTGACGCTAACCATAAGATAGTGTCATCGTGAAATCGAGTCATATAATAAGTTACATCGTTCCTTGTTTCACAACCAATTATATCCTTAAACTCTTCGATCAAACGGCGCAGCACTATCATGTGTGCGAGACAAAGTTATATCACTCGTCGGTTTTCTATGTAAATCCATACTTTGTGCGCTACTGCCATCTAAGTTCACCACTCCATAAGTATTGCTCTTAGTGTCACGATAGCTTATTTTACATGGTCCGACGTGTCGACTTGACAATGAATTCATATTCAGAAGCCGTATTATATATCCGTTAATAACGTTTTACGTCGTCAGCCCGAGAGTAATTTGGGACTTGTTGTCTCAAATTAATAAGAGTATAGGTGGGTCAGCCCGAGGGAACGTAAGAGTAATTTGAGACTTCTTCTCAGATTATTCTATTTATAGGACACGGGCCACCGGCTAGCCGAGAGCCGAGGTCCGAGACTGAGTGTAGTAACAGAAAATACGATATATTTATTTCTAGAAAATATATCCGAGTGCTAAAGTGTTCTGCATAAGGTTTCTCATACTGATCATATGAGTTTTTACCCAGGCCACCCAAAGTGGTTGAACACTAGTACAAACACCATCAGTATATAACTGAGGGTGAGATCATAAATATATTCATTCGAATGCACCATACTTTAAATACATTAGCACTTTACTTATAGTCCCCTACACCGCACGATAACATGTAACGGCTGGTCAGTTTCACGATGTCTCCGACTTCGAACACTTGTATGTTGTGTTTACTGTCCTAACGTTTATGTCTTTTTAATAAGTCCTTATTCTTCATATCTCGTAGATGAGGGTATACTACTTCTTGTACTCGTTTTAGTCTTTCTAACCATGGTACGTCAGTAGTTGGTTGGTTTCCCTCGTCGTACGATACTTGTAAAGCACTTCTTCTTCCCCTAAAGTAGTGCGCGGGAGTAGTCTTTGTAACCGGGTCAGTAGTCTCGTTCATCATGGTTTGAATCCATTTAAGATGGTAGGGCCAATAACCTTCATAGTCTTCAAACTGACCGCGTATGAGTGTTTTCATACGTCTGTTTCTAGTCTCGTTGGCTCCTTGAGTCTGAGGTTTATAAGGTACTCCACGTTTATAGTTGCGGCGGTTACGTCTTCGCAAAACTCTGAGCAGTTGTCTGTCGCCATGATAGTTGGCCACCCGTGGTCATTAAAGACAGTATATATGACTTCCGAAATCTCTTGTGTAGTCTTGGTTCTTGTCGGTTGCAAGATATTATACCTCGAAGTTACGTCAAAGAAATGGCAGACATACTGTGACTTTGTATGCTCGGACATGGGCAACTTAACCAGGTCAATGATTACCCTGTGCCATGGTTCGTCTTCTATTACACTTTTTAGTGGCGCAAATGCATAATGCTTGATCTGGTTATATTCACAATCCCTACAGGAGTTGTAGACTTTACGTATTATCTCCCTGAGTTTGTGATGATCAATTCCTTTTGCTTGGGCATCTCGTAGAGTAGGTCGTTCGCTAACATGTTTAAGATTGTGGTGTTGTACAACCCAATCGTGAACTTTAAGTTCTTTTTTTTACCCATGTCACGTTGTACAGGAGATTCGTCTTCTTCCTCATTATCAGTCTCTTGACCATGCTCATCATCATTGGACTCTTGTTTTTCCGTCGAAGTGCGTTTTGCTGATGCTGCTGATACAGCATTGCTTTCGTTGAACAATGTCATATGTCTTTCGTGTACTTCTATCATGTCCTTCAATAGCGCCTCGAGGGTTGTAGTCTGAGCTTCAGGTGACTTGATATTTAGCCCTTTCTTAAATACTTCAGCTAGCTTGTCTACCTGTGTTGACGTTCTCTGACCCATCGTTAATACTTCTCCTTGTGAGGTCTTGTTGGTTATGATTTCCTTAGCGTATTGCTTGGTAGGAGCTTGGACTGTATTTAGAGGAATCGTAATTTCTTCCAGGTTCTTTAAAGGGGTATACGATGGGGTCCAGTTCGATTTCTTCGCTGGGCCTATCCGGCATATTATGGTATGCATCCAAGGGGTCTTCTTTATAGCCCGGGTACCCATATACAAAAATGCATATACTTCTCTGTTTACATATATTGGTTCACATTGTATCATTGACATTTAAACTTTTTAAGCCAGGGGTAGGATTTCCTTAAGGGACAACATAACGTTATTTCGGCATTTTGTATTTCTACGTACTGTAGTAGCTGTGGTATTAATCGCCACGGCGGGTTTGCCCAAGCGTTGTGTTTTGACAAATCTACTTGAAAGGCATCGCCTTTTGGGTGTGTAAGACTTCTATAATCTTCACATTGTTTGTTATGTTCTGCCGCGAACATATTTATCGTAAACTTCCTAAATGCTCTACTTGCTAGTTCAAACCATTTGCGATTTAGTTTCCAATCTGTGGCCATAAGTGCTTTGACAGTCTTTTGATAGTCTGGAATCAGCCTTGTCAACATATCCGGTAAGTGATTATGTTTACCTGGTATATGTGTTATGTTAAACGATAATTTAGCCAGCGTATCATGCCATCGGCTAACTAGTTGTGAGTCAGGTTTCATATCTTTCATGTATTGTAAAGACTTTTGATTATATGCTACTTCGAATGTAGTGTAGTCAGGAAGTCCCTGACAGGGTTTATTTTGATATTTGGGTTTAATTAGAGACTACATTTTGAACTGTGTTTATCCAATCAGGTTAAAACTGATTAACGGAAAACACATGACCAAAATGATAGTCACAGGATTTAGTTCAATCCTTGTACGAGGGGAGTACGTTGAGATACAGTTATCCTCGACTACTTACTACAGTAGTACCATATAGATAATCATTGAAGTGTTGTAGAGCAGTAACCATGCCTAATAGTTCCTGTTTCAATGTAGGATATGCTCGTTGACTCTTGCTCAAACTCTTTGAGTAGAACATGACATATCGTGGTTTACCTTCAACCATTTGGTATAGGACTCCACCTACCGCCATATTAGATGCGTCGGTAGCTACTTGGAATGGTACTCCATCCACCCGAAACTGCATGACAGGTGCCTCCATCACTTTCTGTTTTAGAAGCTTAAATGCGTCGTCGCATTCTTTTGTCCATAGTTCGCCCAATTTGCCTTTATGAGATCTTAGATGTGAGAAAGGTTTCATGTATTCTGCAAAGTATGGTACTCCTGTTGTAAAGAAGTTTACAAAGCCACACACTGAGTTTACGTCCTTTCCTGTAATGGGTGTCCTCCAATCTAATAAGTGTTCTCGCTTATCTGGGTCAATTTCTATCCCTTTATCAGATATAAAGTAGCCTAACAATTCTATTCTGTTTACGGCAAATTGACATTTCTTCTCATTTACTTTGAACCGCGCCTTATTAATCGGTCAAGCACTATCTTCGAGATGCGTTTATGTTCTGCAGCGGTCTTCGTATATATGACTATATCGTCGATATATACTTGTACATAATCTGTTAAATCTGCGAACAGCTCCATCATAACTTGTTGGAAGAATGAGGGTAGCTTATGTAATCAAAGAGGTGCTCCTCGAAAATGATACTTCACTACGCTCCACTGAAAGCTAAAATACTTTCTGTGTTCTTTATATATGTTCATTTGGTGATAACCTTGCGTTAAGTCTATCTTCGAGAAGAACTTCGCTCCATCTAGCTATCTTAATAGCTCGTCAATACGTGGTAGATGAAAGCTGTGTGTTGTAATTATTTTGTTTAATGGTGACATGTCCAAACACACTCTATATTTACGCAAAGACCCATCTGAATTATATTGGTCCACCGCTAACAACGTTAAGATAACTGGTGTTGGTGCATAACTCACTTCTATGACCCCGTCTTCGAGCCATTGTTTCACCTGTGCAGTAACCTGCTCTTTATGTTTTCTAGAAACATAGTTTGTTGTTGGACACTTTAATTTTGTAAAATCTGCTTGTTCTAAGTTCAGACTTGCGTATCCTTTATTGAACCGAAATATAGCCCAATCTGTAATCTTCAGACGTCTATTTTGCACCAACAATTCTATTAATGTATCCATTATATCTGGGATTAATGTTTTCACTTTGTTTGAAGGTGCTTCGGGAGTAAAGAATGTATCTTTCTCTCTTTGGTCTTTATCAGATTCAATGTTACTTGGCAGTCCTTATATCACTATATCTAATGATAACAAGTCTGACATTCCTAATATGATGTCGTACTGTGGGCTCATTTCAAGTATTACCGCTTCTGTATTAATTTGTCGGTAGTCTGCTAAGACTACTGTAAAGTCTTTTGCTAGTTGTGTACAAGAGATTTTTTCTTGGTTTGCTAGCACTACCGTTTTAATAGCCGGGCCTCCATATTAGACTCTATGTTATAAACATACTCTTAAGCAGTACGTAAAATTATAAACGTACTCTTAATAGTACAAGGAACTTAATTTTTCCTAAATGGTCTTTAATGGTTTTATTAATTAATACCTTTTCCATTTTACATATCAGATATTTGGACGAGGCCATTAAAAGGCCCCAGTAAAGTACCAAACATAAGAGTTGGTCTAGTTCTATTAATAGAACTATGTTTAGTTTCCAACTTTATTTATATCTGAATACTTCGGTAGCGAGATGGCTCAACCGAATATAGGTTTCTAGGGACTATCAACGTTACCTAGTTGATCCTCCAATCAGCCAACCAGATGTGTCAGTCTGATGAAGGTTAAGATTCTTGATAAGTGGCAAGTTATTGGTTAAGACAATAACTAAGGACATCAAGAGTATTTTATTATTATTAATTTTTTCTAAAGATAGGATTTTATGAGTCTCTCGGATTCGCCCCGGCGAAACATATCGTAGTTTCTAATAGAGCGACAACGAAATACTAAATAAAATCCCTTCGGCGGAAACAGTACTGAGAGGATTATATATAGGCAAGGTCTCAGCCTCACAATCCCTCAGAGTATTGCTGTTTTCACGAGGCACACCTAACTTTACTATAAGTCTCATTTCGTTTATTTACTTTGATATTTTTACACCACTTAGAATTTACTAACGCGTTTATTTACTCTAAGGCGTTAATATCGCCTTAATAGACCGAATTTTACACATTTTAAGGTTAGCAAAGGTATTAATTACTTAGACTACTTAAGCGTAAAGGTAGATTAACTACCACAAACTTTTTCTTGTCCAAGCTAGTCCTTAAGAGATCAGCTAGCAGTCATAAGTTAAGATTATGACCAAGAAAGACAATACTCCCTCTAAGAAGCGTAGAGCTGAAAAGAAGAAGATGAAGAGAGAAACCGCAGCCACTGCCGCCACAGAAGCAACCGCTGCCGCTGCTGATGCGTTTAACCGCACTGTAGCCGAAGCACTTGCCTCCGACAATAATAGTCAACAGGACAATGCTTCAGATCAGGATGTAGCCACTCCGATTAAAGATACTACTCCCACTGACAGAGCCCGAGGGCCAACTATTGCCTCAACTTCAAAGCTTACATTTACGAAGCCAAGAAGTGAGACAAGGGACACGTCTCAAGACGACCCAACGAATTCTTCTGACGAAACTCAGAAAGAAAAGTTCCCAATTATAAGAGAGCCCCCAATTATAAGGGAAATGACAAATCTCAGAAGGAACCTATAATGGAACCAGAAGAGGAGGCAAGCTCAAGTGGCAAACCCGAATCTACGTCCGAGACTACTAAGCTAACGCGCATAAGTAAGTTAATTACTGAAAACACTGATCTTAAGAATCAGTTAGCTACTTTTAAGAAAGACTTGACTGTTGAACATGTAGATCGATTGTATAGATCATGAAAACATACACAGCACTTACGTGAGCATGTTTCTCCGGGCATTACTGAAGCCCTACAGAAGTGGACAGAACGTCGACAGGCAATTACGCCCAAAGAACGTAAAGACTCGAGCGCTACACCTGTGGCATATGAGCCAGATGTGCTCAGCGTATCTATACCTTACGAGGTACTACAACCAGAACTTCAGGCTAATTACTCGCCTGTTCTGACACCCGGCCGTAAGTCACCCGACCGTGAGTCACCCGTCCTTGAGGGTATTATAGACCCAGAGGCAGGTAGAAATATTCCGCCACCTTTACCCAATTGAGATGACAATCGTCTTTATCCAGACGCATGAACCACCCAAGATTATAATACCAACCACTATCCGAGGAACAGAGCGCCGAAAGGTCTCGACCATGGACTTTACAAGAAGTAACTAACACCCCTTTAAACGTGTTAACGAAGTCGAATTTAATCGCTTCGATCGCACAGCACTACATCAACCCGCAGAGGATTTTCACTCTGACGAGGTAACCGAACTTAACAAATCGGTCGACGATTATACCATTAAAATGGAAATCGCCCACGATGCGCATGCATCATGCTGAGGATGTCTCATATTTTGCTAATATGATTGCGATTAAGCAAAAGCGCATCGATCAGCTACTTCAAGCCCAACGTGGACAAGACCACAGGGATAACCAGAAGTACAAAGGACAGATCAGTCGAATTAAGTCGAACTGGGATGCCAACAGTAAGCAGGTCGAGTTTATAAACAACCATGACCCCGACACGCTAAGCCGTACGCGCAATGCGTTTACGGTCATGCTGGAGACGAATGATATCGTTCCCCAGCAATGGATTTCCGCTTTAATGCAGACGTTTGACCATACAGGAACAAGTTACTTGATCCTACAGCGACACCAGCATGAACTAGACAATTGTCGCGACTGGCCAGCTGTGTGTTGGTCGGTTACATCCTTGTTAAGTAATGACATGCGTAGCCCAGGACTGAGTTCAATTTTAACTGAACCAGTTGAGAACACGCCCATTCAGAGTATATTCTGAAGCTAGATGCTGACCTGAAACGTCCAGATATAACAAAGGACAAGGCGCAGCGATGGTACGAGTTCCTGATTATGCACGTGTTCTGTAAGAACATAGGGAATAACGACCGTGAGAGCCTGTACACCGAGTTGCGACGTAAACACGCGACTGAGGCTCGAGACAAGGGACATGAAACAAAGTTTCATCTATCCCGACTTACATGAGAATAGTTTTATGATACTG